AAAGTTACAGGTAAAGTCAAAAGCTTTTACTTATATACTTTATCTTTCTATTCTGTGCTTTCTATTGTTTTTTGTTGTCAGTCTACTGGATAAAACTCCACTGTCTCTTATTATATAATCATCGGTATTAATTTAGGAGTAATATGACTATAGATTCTCACCCTAAGATAAGTAATGGGAGACCATACACCGTAGTCATCAGAGCTTCAGCCAAATTAGGCAAACAGGTGAAGGTGATGGACTCTCGCATACCAGTCTTGAAGACCAGGGTAAATATTCCCTGCGTGGACAGATTGCCCATGTCGCCACAGTCCTACAGTGAAACTGTGAAAAGTCAACTAAGCGGATGTGGCTCCATCCCTGTTAACACGACTAGGTTAATAGAGCCGAGTGGTAAATCTGCACAAAGTGAGAATAGTATAACACCCATCTCCATAGTAGGCCTTGAAACAAACAGGAAGGCCAAAAAGAAATGTTCACGACGTCGCAAGACGACAAAAACGTTCCCCAAAAAGGCAGACGATTGCAAGGTCTGCGATTCTGTCGTCGAACAAGTAGACTCTGCCTTCGAATGCAACTTTTGCAAGCAATGGGTACATTGTAGATGCGACACTGGGGTACCAAAAGTATATTACGATTTTATGCGTAGGAACCCATGCCCATGGTTCTGGTACATATGCCCAAGTTGCCGTCCTGATGCAGCCTCGTGTAGTTCCTCGAAAGCTAAAGATGGCATAGAGGTATCAGGGAAAAACGTGAAACGTTCTACTCCCACCAACTCGGAAAACAGCACAATTGCACGTAAATCGGGGATACCAAAATCCACACCGGTTAAACTTGCAATTCCTGCCATAACTGCCCCAGACACAGAGGCTGAAGCACCAAGGGTATATGTCTTTGGGAAAAGACCCTTATCGTCTACCAGTAATAGCGGCCACGGCACTGCGACACACAATAATATCTAGTCGCACCAAACGAAGCAAAACGGTCTTAAAGGGGATGACAAATGTGCGAGGACCAAACCCAAGTCCACTGCTGCTCCTCAAGGCAAACTATCCCCACTGAGGGTAACACTGGGCTCTACCAAGGATGTCGAAAAGGTTTTACTGACTTCTCAAGTCCTTTCTATAGGGAGGACCTGCAATATACGTGTTAGGCCAGATAGGCCATGGAAGGAAAGACAGATGGCGAGGGAGTCACCAGAGCTTATTCCTTCTGTCTCCATGGTTGTTCACGGCATTCCCGAACTGGTAACGCTTGCGAGAAGCACTGTCACGATGTACAGCAATGGAGATGGTTGGCATCCCAGATGGCTCTGGGAAGTTCAGGGGCTGTCTCTATTTATAGACTGCCTCGACCCACTCACCTTATGTCAATTAACACGCCACGTCTGTTAGCTGTCAAGTTCAGCTCCCGAGACCACTTGACTACTGCTCTCCAGAGATGGTACGAGACCAAGGACAAGGTCAGCAGACACATTCGCTGCTGCGAGAGCCGGCCTCGTATCCAAAGGGGAGAACAAAGCGTTTTCAAAGAACATCCCCAACCCTTAGTCACAATACAGCGGTGCAGCACGGACGATGATAGCCAGTGTCATCCAAGTGCTCCAATTGAACTAGAAGAAAAAACGCCAACAGGCCGGTTCCCGGGGAATCGGCCAACTAGTTCGTAGGATAACTCCTCAACCGACAGCCCACATCATATCAACCACCCCCCAATACGGGGACGTGGTGAAACTGACTACCAGTTGCCTGTACAGTAATGTGAGAGGGCTAAGAGGCAAAATAGCTGAACTTAGACACCTACAATCACAGCTGAACTCCAAAATCATAATACTGACGGAAACCTGGCTAACCCCTACGGTGGCAGACAGCGAAGTCAGTATAAATGATATGGTCCCAGTCAGGCGAGATAGGGACCTGAAAGAAGGAGGTGGAGTCGCCATATACGTCGACAAACAGCTCAGATGTGTCCATGCAATGGACCCTCCCCTCATTGAGCTCCCTGACTCCATATGGTGCCATTTCACCGTTGGGTACTGCAAATATCTAGTGGGCAGCATTTTTAGATCACCTTCATGTGGAGCAGACCACAACCAGGTACTGCTGAATACAATTTCAGCGACACAAGACATGGGTTATGATCAAATTGTCATAGCTGGCGACTTCAATGCCCCATCTCTTAACTTGATGACGGGATATGCCCATGATAGATTTGATCGAAATCTGCTGCATACCATCAGGGAGGCTGGATTCACTGGAAATGTCAGGACGGATACTAGATGGGGCCCAGATGGGAAGTCTTCTAGACTGGATTATGTGCTCACGAGTGACCAGCTACTAGTGGAAAACGTTCAGATCACGACTCCCATAGGTAGTAGTGACCACGCGGTCATAGTATTCGACATAGTCCTCCGCGAGCGTTTACAGTGGGACAATACACAGCCCTATCTGTGTTATAACAAAGCCAATTACACCGAAATGCGAAGACTTTTGTCTGAAGCAAATTGGCCAAAAAATTGGGCAGAGCTTACAGTAGAAGAACACTGGGGAGTGGTAAAGGAGATCATTCACCAGGCGATCTCAGACCTGTTCCTTTGTCACACCAAAGCTAGAAAGCAACGTTCATGGCTAAAAAGGGGGACACAACGCCCTCTGCAGGCGAAGCGAAAAGCCTGGTTTGCGTGGCGAGTATCGAAGAGTCAACCCGAACATGAAGTGTACGTTGAACTCAGGAATCGATGTAACATACGAGTCCGGAGTGATAGAAGGACATTTCAGAGAAACCTCGCCAATAAGCTTCTCGTGAACCCCGAAAGCCTATACAGGTTTATGTCTGAAAGAAAACCGCCCAACTAGGGAGCTTGCAATCTAGTGGGTTCTGATGGGAAATCTCTTACTAGTCTTGAAATGGCAGAGACATTCAGTCTAGCCTTTTACAGGCAACTGAACAGTAACGAGGATTTTACCCCCTCAAAACATCAAGATTACAATGCAAAACCAACGTGCGAAAACCTGCTGGGTAAATTTCAAATTACCCCGGCTATGGTACTCGTAAAATTGGGAAAGTTGGCTTCGGGAAAGTCTGCAGGTTGCGATAACATAAGACCATCCGTCCTGAAGCAGTGTTCAGAAAGTCTCTGCCAACCCCTAAGTGATCTGTTTCAACACTCCTTTGATGTAGGGAAACTTCCATGTGAATGGAAACGAGCCATCCTATCCCCTATCTTCAAGGGTGGTGACCGGCAGAATGGGACCAGTTACAGACCAGTTGCGCTACTTCCAGTTATACCTAAGATATTGGAAAGTCTCATTGACGACCACATGAGAGAATACTTCGACGGGACTAACCTACTCCATGAAGCACAGCACGGTTTCAGGAGGGGAAGATCCTGTGTGACGGATCTTCTACTAGCTTGGAACGATTGGACACTATCCTGGGACGCAAAGGTACCAGTCCATGTGATCTTTCTCGACTTTGCGAAAGCATTTGACACAGTTCACCATGGTCTGCTCCATCACAAAATAAGCAAGGTGGGTGTTTCTGGAGCACTTCTCGCATGGCTGAAAGATTGCTTAGGCGGGAGAGAATTCTGCACCAAAGTCAACCGCATCCGATTATCCCGGTACACCTCAGTATCAGGGGTTCCTCAGGGTTCTATCTTAGGGCCGTCGATGTTTTTGATTTTTATCAACGACCTGCCCTGTCAACTGAACTGCTCTGCGCTTCTTTACGCTGACGACGTAAAGATTTGGAGAGCAATAAACTCACCGGAAGACTCCGACAGATTGCAGGCTGACCTACAAACTCTGGGAGACTGAGCTCTGGCTAATGGAATGCCTTTCAATCTAAAGAAGTGCATAGTAGTGCAACTTCATTCCGGCAGGTCACAGAGTGTATATTACACCCTTGGTGGCCATAACTTGAGTTGTGTGCCATCAGAACGCGACCAAGGTCTTATTTTAACAGAAAAGCTAGACGCAAGTGTAAATTACACGAGGGACGTCGCCAAAGCCTACGCAACTTTACACTTTATGCATAGGCAACTGGGAGCTCTTACTCCTGAACTATTCCTAACGTTGTATACGACATACGTGAGGCCACTCCTTGAGGTGCATAATATCATTGCTCCTCCGCTACTCAAAAGGGATGCTAACATGCTAGAAAGTGTCCAGAGACGAGCGACAAAATGGGTGATCGGCCTCCGCAACAAATCATATGAGGAGAGACTGAAGAAATTAAGTCTTTTCACACTTAGTTACCGTAGTCACAGGGGAGACCTCATCACCGTCTATAAGATCCTAAATGACCAGGCCCATCCTGATAAGAGCATCCTGCCATTAAGTGATTATAGGCTTCCACGAGGTAACCCACTAAGGATAGCACACCAGAAACCAAAGACTCAAGTGCGTTCACATTTCTTTTCGCTTCGAGTTTACCGCCTCTGGAACGCTTTACCGGCGGCCGTAACTACAGCTTTATCTGTGGAGACTTTTAAGCGGAAGCTGGGCAATCATGCAGAAATACATGGTTTGTGTCTCAATGGCTTATCCTCTTAAAACTTGAAACCACACTGTCAATGGATAGGCATACAAGCTAAATCCCCACGACCCGTTCTGTCTTCTCTCACTGTACCGACTACTCTATCTTTTCCTTAGGTCACCTTTATTATTTCACTTGTTTCAACCTATATTATCTACACTACAATCTATTATTATTATTACTATTCTACTTTTATGACTACACCGAATGACCAACGGATGTTAGGTCAAACTCCATTCACGGCAGCAACTTAGTCTTAACATACTGCACACTACAAACCACATCTTGACCAATCCTCGCACCACTCTTCTTGGAGTCTACCAGAGCTAAAGCAGTCGAGTGGAGGGATTTACTACGCATAAGTTCACCGAAGATCTGGAACCTCTACCTTACAATCAAGAATCGAGCTCAAAGAAATCACTGGTTTATACTAGCTCGTAATCAGGATATTGGATATTGGAGGAGGTAAATCAACTTTGACCTTGTGGATGGGGTCACTGTGGTTAAGGAATATTCTTGGTTATCGTCTAAGTGAATCAGAATTGCAAAATGTCCCCTATCCAAAGACAGAATTACTTTTACACATTGGTCTTAGAACGACTCAGGTTTCATGTTTATTTGGAGCCGTGGTATGCGCTCCAGTAGCAACTATCCTATCAAGTATGTATATGTTAGTTCTTAAATTATTTTTAACAGCCCCTAGAACCTTCAGACGTTTCACCCTAAGATTTGCCAAGTATGCTACTTATGGTGTTCTACCAGGAGTTGCCCTTGGTCCAGTACTAATGTATATACGACTACATGATCAACCAGACGAGGCAATTTACGACAGGTGTTATCGCCTAAGATGTAACAAGCATCAGGTATAGGCAGTATTTTTTAAGTCCATTTTTTGTCCAGGCTGCGTTTATTTTCAGTTACTTAAAAAATCTGCAGTCTCTGTATTTATATTTGTGTCCCACGTGAAGATTGGTACTACTGTTCGCGGTCGTTACAATGGTATTTAGTCATTTTGCGTTTGGGAAGCTTCTGCTTGCTAGTACCTGTGTTTTTTGCATCTGTCGGTTTAAATGAAGATACAGAACTGTACTAGCATTTGGGAGAAACATCAGATGTATGTGGTTCCCGATTTTTCTCTACTCTTGTGTGCTATATGGAATGTGTCAATTAACTTGGACAAGGGCACTTTAACGATCGGGGTTATTTACAGAATTCCTGCTAATCAAGCTGATAACTTCGTTCTAAATCACTTGTGGGCGTGGAGTAGCAGAAATAGGCGTCTGGTTGTTGGGGAATTTAACGCTCCACATATTAATTGGGGGAGGGAGAATTAAACTCCACTAGTTTGCATACCTGTTTCAATAGGGAGTTCACACTGACAGTGCTTGAATGTGTACTCGTGCAACATATGCATACACCAACACGGTATCACCCTGAACATGATCCGTCTACTCTAGACTTGGTATTAACATACGAGATGGAGGACGTTGGTAACATTGGGTGCCTTCCATCGCTTGGCAGCAGTGACCACGTAGTCATTACTTTTACGTTTGAGATTCATTCTCTCATACACAGGTCAACATCTGTTCGTCCAAACAATTGGAAAGCGGATATACCGGGATTCCAGAACACAGCAACTGTAGCTGACTGGCTAGTTGATACAAGTCGGACTGTGGAGGAAGCTTGGGTGGGATTTGGGAATACACTAGATTGTGTCACTTCACGTTTTGTACCTTGGTACACTCCTCGAAAGCCATCGCATAAGCCACCTTGGATTATTAGTGAAATAAGGAGGCTCTTAAGACGGAGGAAGAACTTATAAGACCAATTTATTATAAGAGAAAGGGAAAATGTCCAGGACTACCGCAAAATTCGAAATATCTGTATGTGATTGATAAGAGTCGTATAGAGTACGAGAGATGGCTAGTACTGGATTGTGTTCATTACCCAAAACGGCTGTACTCGTATATTAAACGTAGGACTAAAACTAGCAGTAGTATACCGTCACTCATAAGTATTAGTGAAGAAGCGGCTGAGTCAGACGAGGGAAGGGCTGAAAACCTCTCTGAATACTTCTGTGACGTCTTCTCGTCTGATCGTACCACCCAGGGATATGGCAAGGTCACTGCCCTCAATTGTGGTAGAGCACAAAACGGTCCTCATACTACTGTCTAAACTAAAGCCAGGTAAATCACCTTGGCCCAATGGACTTCACCCAAAACTGTTAATTTCTTTGGCGGATATAATATGTATTCCACTTACGGAGATTTTCCGAATGTCTCTGACTCAGGGAAGGAAGGATGCAATTATAAGCCCTACCTTCAAGGAGGGGAACAGGCAATTGGTATCTAACTACCGGCCGGTAAGTCTGACATGCATTATAGCAAGGGTATTGGAAACTATTATAAAGGATCAGCTGTTAGCTCATGATGAAAAACATGGCTTGCTGGCGATGGAACAATATAGATTCCGACCAGGACGATCTTGCCTGACAAACCTAAAATTGGCTAGGGAAGACTAGGTTGAGGCCAAAGATAAAAAACTTCTGTTTGACGTGGTTTTTATCGATCTTAGTAAGGCATTCGATAAGGTATCCTACTTAGGTCTCCTTAGTAAACTTAAAGGTTTTGCCTATGTGAGTGGTTTAGGGATTACCTAATGGACAAAAGGCAGAAAGTTAGAGTTGACGGTGTACTATCAGGGTGGAAAGCAGTATCCAGTGAAGTGCCTCAGGGAACTGTATTAGGCCCCTTGCTATTCCTATTATATGTTAATGAGCTACCGGGGATTCTTACTTCATCTTCATTGTTATTTGCAGACGACATTAAGATATGGAAAACTGTAAATAATAACGAGGATAGGTCGGCCCTACAAACTGATCTTGATGAATTAGCTGAGTGGTCGATCCTGTGGAGTTTGGAAATTAGTTCTAGGAAGAGCGCGATAATGCACTTAGGTCAGAAGTCTTATACGTCGTACTCCGTAGGGGACACAGAACTACCTGATGTTAACGGACAGAAGGACTTAGGAATCATTGTCAGCAACGATTTCAAAACAACTGCAAATAGCAATGCAGCCGCAGCTAAGGCTTTTCGAATGCTATGGGCACTCTGAAGTGCTTTCAAACGATCAGGTGAGGGTGTTTCCCAAGTACTGTATGCAACGTATGTCAAACCTCATCTAGAATACTGCATAAAAGCGGCTAGTCCATGCTTCAAGAAGGAGGGACATATCTCGGAAAGAGTACAAAGGGTAGGAACCATATTAGTGGTATCTCACACCTTCCTTATGATAGGGGGATGGAGCATTTAAATCTCTTCCCGTTATCATACCGAAGGAAGAGAGGCGACTTAATTTTAGCATACCGTATACTTAAGAGTGATTTAGGAACTGACCTTTCTAACCTTTTCTCTCCTTCTTGGATACGTTTACGGTGTCACTGCAAAAAGGTGCTCAAACCGAGGACGATTAAAATACGTGCAGAATTTAGATTCTCTCACAGAGTGGTCAGCGACTGGAACTCCTTACCTGATTCAGTAGTAAAACCCCCATTAATGAATGTTTTCGAAAAGAAGTTAGATCTCTGCAGAGATATATATCACAAAGATTAACACAAGCCACAAGAGCCTACTATCCTTATCATCTAAATCTGAATTTGCACTACTTCTCAGAAGTGCAGCAGTAAAGACTTAGTCAGTCAAGTAATATGGAACAATTACTTATGTCTATTAAGGGAGCAGACTTTAAAAAACCTATAATGCTTGAAATGATTCTTGAGAAGGATGAAATCGTCCTACAACAACATAAAGTAGAACCCGATGGTATAGCTCCAGAGGTATTTAAGGATGGTGGTCGTTGGATATTAATCAAGTTAACTACGCTACTAAGTAATACATAAGAGTCGGAGACAGTTGCTTCAGACTGATATGGGTCATGGATTACTCTGCTTTATAAAGGTGAAAATCTCCCTGCGGTGATCACAAGGAATCAGATATACATAGTATTTAGGAATCTAAAAATATATTTGCTAAGCAGCGCTCCGGCTAGACATTAAAGAAAATTAATATATGTATCAGTGGTAGAGTGCCAATTCAATAACACTTAACTGGCACTTAATATATAAGAAAGGTATGTACCTACGACTGTTGCAAAAAAACTTCGGCTAGCCGAAGGTATGCATATGTCTGCACGGAGAACATGTTTAACGTGAGTTAATTGTGGGTGAATTTCGGATAACATTCTAACGTTGGTAAACAGGTACCTTTGATCTTAAGTAATCACAAATAAGAATATCCTGGCTTTAAAAATATATAAAGATCACTTTTCTTGGTGTAAAGAAACCGTGGAAATATTCATGACACATTTTCTATACTAGTGTAAGCCCACGTAAACTAAATTAATTCTCAGTAATTAAATAAACTAGGCGAATTTTTTAAGGATGTAGAATTTACAGCTTAAGGAAGACGGATCTTGCGATGAGTTTCCTACCGTTTAGGTACGTGGTTTGGAACCAACGTCCTATATTTTTAAACTTTCATATCCGGCTATTGACATCATCAGTTATGGAATCTCATTGAAACTTTTGGAAATACCTTTTAAGGTTAGTTACTAGTTGAGAGTCAGACAGTTTTAAGCCTAAAATTTGTTTCAATATGGTTTTTCCTAGTAAAAAGTGAAAACTAAATGATTAAAACTATAGGTCACTTGACATCCGTTTTCATCTTCGTTCGGGAATCCTCAGCAGTGCACATTCACCACCTCATGCAGGACTGCGCCAATTGTTGTCAGTTCTCCAATCAGTTACTGCCAGATTGTAATCCAACTAAGAATAATATGTATCGTCTCGATTTAAAAGTGAAATGCGGTAATATCTTGCCGATAACTCACAACATCTAAAACTGATTAGAATTCAGTGGTCCAATTATTATATGATGTTTATTATGTTTATTTTTGCAGCCAGCAAATTATATTGAAGAGTTTTTAGTTGTATACATTATTTCTTAGCTGTCATCATAATTTCATCCACTTTTCAGCTTCGTGTAGATCGTTTCGCCTATATTGGTCTGATCTGGGGCGGGATCGCAGGTTTCGCTAGTCGGGTGAGGCCACTTGAAACATCAATCGTTGGTATGGTGTTAGCAACTATAACAGCTGCTTGTTACAATCACATTGAACATAAACTGTCAATAGAGAAATAGGTTATAAGTTTTCTAATTAGGTTAATTTTTTGAGTTTGTACATAAATGAAAAAGTAAAATGTTCTCATGATTTGTTCCAAGAAATTAGAAAAGTATACAAGAAGTTTCCAAAGATGCAGTTTCCAGTTGTATTTAATTACTAGTGAAGAATATACAAAACCCATACTGATTATTTCTTCTTTTGCTTTGCGTGCTACATGGAGTGTGGCGAATTGAACTACCGCACATTGGTGCAAAGTTTTATGTCGAAAACAGACAGACAGATTATTTCGAGTTCTGATAGCAAAACATTTCACTGACTCTAATAATTGAAATTCCCCTGCACAGTAATCCTGTACTGCATTATGGTTATATTTCACACATATTTGATAATTACTCATAACCACTTCAAGTAGTTGAGATTGTATGATTTTAAGTGTGTGGTTTTCATTTTGTTTACCGTTATACAGTTTGTGTAGTGGTAACCTCATACTTTTATCTATCACCAGCGGAAAGCGATTAAATTATTTCAAATATGACTGAAATATTCAGTTTCTGTCAGCCAGGTTTTGTCGACAAGCAGTGTTTAACTTTCAAAGTTATATAATTGCGTCGGAACAAAATAATTGGTTAAAGCAAACAGTTGTTTTCAATAAATTCTTCTTCAGGTTCTACAATTATAAATCCATTAATTTAGGCATACAATAACCAGTAAAGGCAAATTAGAATCATATCAGTAAGTGTATTGTGGAACAAGTATAAGATGGGGTGGAACAATAGTCAGTCAGTTTTTGAATATAGATGGTCAATGAGAACATGGGACAAAATAAGATGAAGTAATTTAATTTTGTTGATGTGTGTATATACATAAATATAGTCAACAAAAGTACAGGTTTCGAGAGTGAGTGTAATCAGTGGTGTGTGAGACAAAATGAATACTACAGAAAATAAGTTTACACCACATCATCGTTATTGTTGTACAATCATTATTATTGTCGTTATTTTAAACCTTGAACTTATATCTAGTCCACGCTATGCCTTGGTTTATTTCCTGTAGTATTCATTTTGTCTCACACACCACTGATTACACTCACTGTCGAAACCTGTACTTTTGTCGACTATATTTATGTATATGCGTCGGTGGCATAGCGGTTAGGACGCTCGCCGACCATGCACATGGTCCGGGTTTCGATCCCCGGCCGACGCAGTCCTTTACCTCGTTAAGCCAGAAATGATGCTGATGAAGAGGAAAGGTTGGGCATGAGGCTAGCAACCCCACCCTGTAAAAATTAAAACACTGCTACAGAAACTCCAAGCCACTAGCTTGAGGCCCTATGTTCCACTGGGAACATTAAGGAAAAAAAATATTTATTAAATTATCTCCTCTCATTTTCTAATTGACCATGCATATTCAAAAACTGACTGACTATTGTTCCACCCCATCTTATACTTGTTCCACAATACACTTACTGATATGATTCTAATTTGCCTTTACTGGTTATTGTATGCTTAAATTAATGGATATATAATTGTAGAGCCTGAAGAAAAATTTATTGAAAACAACTGTTCTGAATAAGTTATAGGGACATTCAAGTCATATAATTGCATTAAGATTGTTGTAGAATATCAAAAGAGTAGAGTATCAGTGCACCAGTTATCTGTTTGTTTTAATTCTACTCACAAAGAAAATAAAAGACAAGTCAGTGAAAGAAATTCTGTTTACGGATGATTATTATCCATTTGGGTTCCGAGTTTAACATAGGGCTTCAGCAGCACATCTCCATTCCACCCTGTTCTCTTCAGTCCTCATCAGCTGGCGCCACGATTCTCATATCCACCTCACACGATCTCCATGTCACCATGCCGTTCCCCACTCAGGTTCTACTCGAGCTGTGAACTGGCGTGCGACGTCACCTGACAGTCTACTCAACGTGTGTTCAATCCATTTCCTTTTACATATTTGTTAAGCAACAGGTTCTCGATTGGTTCGTTCCCAGAGTTTCTTGTTGCTAATCCTTTATGACTATCTGATCTTCAGTATGGAGCTAGCGAACGCAGCTGTTGAGGAAAGCCTGCAACCTGTTAGAAAAGTCTCTAACACATATAGAAGAACTAACTTAACACTACTGAAAATTTGAATCTTGTTCTTTATGGTGAGTGCGGGACATTTCCAGACTAAATTCAGGGTGATGAAGATCTATCTTGGCTTTTCCGTTAAGCGGTTTTGATATCGTCATCCGTCCTGTCTGTAGTTGAAACTATGCTGCCTAGATAAGTGAAGAAAGTTCTCTCTTTAAAATTTATTCCGTTGATAGTCATACCTGTTTGTTGTTGGTTGACGAGGTCATATTTAAATAGTATGCAATCGTATTCATATTTACTGAAATGTATAGCATGCTATAATTGAATAACAGGTTGTATGATATAATTGATACACTTACTCAGAAGTCGCTTCTGAAAGTAGAATAAGAGTATGTGGTAATCTATGATAGAAAAAAGTAAGGATTTGAAACCTGATACGGTGAAAAGTGTTGCTAGGTCAGAAGCAAGTAAGCTGACCGTCCGCTTGATAATCTTTAAGGTGGAAACAAAAATCTCATTAATAAGGTGATATGATTATGGGCAATAAATTGTGCTCGAAACGTCATCAGTAAATATTACTGTATAACACTGTGAGACTTTATCAAAGTAAATTTTACCCATAATGGAAGCCGCAGGGACTTTAAGACCATGATGGGATGAGAGGCTAAACAAGGCTTTTCCTTACAAAATGTTCAGGGTTGAACTGATGAATTGCTAGCGCCTCCACAAGTGTTGAAACCTTAAAAGCTGTCGTCCTGCTCGGTCATATTTTGCAACTAGCTTTAAGAGATGACTCCGGTGAAGCTACATCACCGTGGTTTATCGGATTTACGGGAAGTGAGGCAGTGGATGACCCACATTTTTCTTTTTATCACCATGCTGAGTAGTACCCTGGGATAGGTTTAGAAAGTTAACACGTTTCGCGGTGAGTATAAATAGCTCCACAGGTACAAGTAAATTTGTAGGCAAGGCAAGTTTTTTGCTTTACACAGCCGTTGATCATTTGTTGACCGAAGAAACTGATCAGTAGATAAGACGGAAAAAACTGCTTTCTTCGACCATCTTAATAGGTTGTTGCAGTATCGCTCGTAAATTCAAAGTTCATAAACAGAATTACATCCAAAGCTATGTGGATTTTTCTGGACTGATGTTTTATAGTTTAATCTTGTAGGGTTTCCAATTTGTGTGGGGACTCGTCAGAGTTGTATATAATCGGTGCAGGTCCTTCTAATTATTGAAGATGACGAATGGATTGGGTTTCCCCGCTCAAGGATTCAAGTATAGTAATTTGTATGTGGATAACACCGTGTTAGTTTCCTGTAGATTAGTCTCTAGAGAGAACCAACATTCAGAAAATAAATCCTTAGTCAGTCTAGAATTTTCTTGTGAAATTTATTGGGTGATGATAATTGTTACACTCCTCCATTATAACTTCGATGCCGTCAACTTTACCACATATGATAGTTGCATCATCTGCGTATCGTTTATACACGTGAAAACTCAATAATGGATCATAACACGTTATTATTTAGGCTTACCATGAATCTTCAAGTAGAAGATCCAATGGTCTAATTGTCACATCGTCTTCTTGTCTGTACAGTATGTCATCTGAGATTAAAAACTCATCTCAGCAGTAGTTCTTTTAGGTACTAGAAGGAAACATACAGTCCTAAATTTTTACCACCGATGAAGTGACAGAGAAAGCAAATAGTTTCGGTGAAGGACATTGGTGAAGAGGGAGGTCATGTAAAAACATACCATTCGTATTCCTGGTACGCTGGCATCATTTAGTGAATCAGCGAAGTTGAACGAATCTGACGCGCTTATAATTGACATTATTTCTGCCTGGTCGCAAAATGTATGCGAACCATTTGGTTGTGGTGAATCATTTATATACAAAACTATGCATTCTAATGCACTTTCGGAAGATAAAAAATACGGGGAACTACAGAATAGGTTGGAGGATTTCATCATGAGCTGAAATCAGTTAGAGAACCAGTGGAAAACCTGCGAGTACTGGACAGAGGTTTCGTCCTAGTTTGGGACTTTTCACCAGTACGCACCCACCGCGGCTCGAACCCAGGACCTTCTGATTACCAGGCGAGCTAGTAGATCATTAAGCCACTGGGAGCCGATCCCATGGTCCATGAATTCTAGCTTCTGCCAATTACAGAATTCTAAAGAGCATAACCTCTAATGTAATTTGGAGTTGATGTTTGATTCATTCATGGTAAGGCTTTGTCTCATCCAATACTGAATAATCGATCACATACCTGAACTATAATATAGTGAATTTATTTGACGTAGAAAATCAAGAGTTACTGAATTCCCTTTTCGTCTAATACAAATTCCTAGATATCTGGAACAAGTGATGTATGATTCATCCTGCGTGTTTGACTTCATTTTAATGGAAATGCTTTAGTTGGGCGGTAGCAATCAACTGACAAGAAGGATATGGATTGCAAATCATTTTCCCAAGTACTTGACTTTGAAACATTGTCCCACGTTCGAATCCCACTGCTTACTTAGGCCTGCACAACTTTGTAATATAATTATCCCCCTCATAGTAAGTATGACTCAGGCTAGTAGTACCTAAATTGTAGACTGGGAAATAAAAGCAAAAATAGAGAATAAAATTATTATGGCTAATAAAGGCCTTTTTGAATATGTATGTTCTTTTTGAAATGTACTACAATTTCGAGTTTTGGAAAACCATCTGTCAAACAAAACCTCGCATAATTTGTTGATATACCTTATTTGTGCGACAGTGTTACTTAGTCGTTCAGTAAGCTGGCAAGTTCCCAGTCATAAACTAATAGAATAAGAATTAAGATGGTATTATGATATTGAATTTAATTCCAGACAGTATTAAACTTTTGTTAATTGTTTTAGGATCTCAAATAAAAATAACAGGAAATTAATAAAACATCTCTTTTGGAAGCCTGCAGGAAACGTTTCCGATATAACCATAAACGTTAATGGTGCTTACGATTAAAATAGGATTCAATAGCAAGCAAGTATGATGTTAGATGGTTGGAAGCAATCAGCAGGAAGCCTTGGACCTATGTTTTGTGTTAGTTGGCACTCGTCAGCAAGTGCACC